TTCGGTCTGGTTACTACCGTTTATGTCAGAACCGGTGCCATCATGGCACCGGATACCGGTACCCATCCCTAGCTGTAGCCCATCTACTTGAAAGTTTGACATGTTGTGCATTCAGACATGTTCTTTTGCATACCTTGGTTGCTACAAGTGATTTTCTGCGTTACTGTGACCCTCCTATCCGCTTAAAGCAGCCAGGCCATTCTCCTCTCACCTCTGGTATTTCCCCCTTGAGAGCTGCTGCTCACTGAATACTTTCTCTTCTCTTTTCTCTTTCTCAACCCATCCCAGTAAACCCACAGATGGTTTGTGTAGGAAACAAACTACTCAGACCAGCCCACCTGACACAAACAACCATGCTGCATTCAGTCACTTTAATCACCCTTCTTTCCCCTTGCGATCCTCAGCTTCCACTTCTTGATTTCTGAACACCCTAAGTGAGATTTCTTTTAAAATTTTTAATAAACACTATAGACTCACAGCTTTTTTACAAGGTCAGAGGTCAAATCTTACCCAGAAAGTGTTTGTCGGTGCGGAGTTTAGTGGGGTCCAGAAAGAACTCGATGAAGACGTAGGAGGCGACAACAAGAATGAGACAAACTCCCAAAAGAGCTGAGATCACACTGTGGAGGAACAACCTGCAGGACACACAGCACTGCTCAGCACACACGCCTAATGGGCATGAATGTACAAAATATATATGTCAAAAACATTGATTAAAATATTTAAAATACATAACATTTGCTATCTTTGCACCCCATATCTATGTTGCTCCAGTATTTTAGAAGAGACTTTTGGAAATGCTTCTGACTCGGTTTTCAGTTAATGACACTTTTATCATTACAGGCAGAAGCACAGAATTATAAAAACAATGACAGACGCGACTCCTCGCTGAGTCACATCAGACACGACGCGTCCTCCTCTGATTCATCGCTCCCATCATATGGCAGCTGCCTCGTTCTGTTAGTTTGTCTGTGTTGCTGTCGTGACTTTCCTTTTGTTAAAGCTTTGCACAGAGCTGTATAACAGCCTCACTTCCCTGTCAGGGACAGCTGTCTTACTGGGAGTGAACCAGTGTCAGGTGACAGCATCCTTCATTGTTTGACTCCACAGAAAAATAAACCAGTACTCACTTATAGTTCCTGCTGCCCACACAGTTGTTGAGCCACCGGCAGTGATGGTCGAAGTTCGCCACACACTTGTTACAGGCGCTACAATGTTTCGACTTCGGTCCCCTGAAACAACCACATACATATATATATCTGTGTTTACAACTAAGTGCAGCCTAGTAAGAGCACTACTATACAGAATGTACAGCACGCATTGTGATACAAATCTAACTAAAACACCTTCACGTTTGATGACTTTACTGCTTTGGTAAAACAGTACCAGTCAAGTTTGTTTTAATGCGTGTGGATGTTTAATGTACTTCCAACACAATTCAGGTTCTTAATACACAAAATGGTACATAACTGTTATTTAAACAGCCAATCCCAGAGTTCACATCCTAGCGTTGTAAATAGGCCGTATATGTAAATAAAACTGAGGAATAATGAGGTCAGTGCACATGAGATAAAAGTCTCTTCTTTTCTACTTGTGTGACAGCAGAGAAGCCCCGCCCACCAGCTGCACAAACTTCTGAGGGGCAACCAATCAGAAGAAAAATAGAAAACTGAAAAAAACTCAAAAAAAAAAGCTCGTTTCAGACAGTGGATGAACTGCAAAGATAAATAACATCATTTTTAACTGGGAGTCATGCAAAGCTACTCATGGAGCAGCACAACAAGCATAATAAACCAGATTCTGAGTCAATTTGTAGCTCCTTCTCTGCAGCAGATCCAGAGGATTGTGGGTATTCATATCCAGTCCCAATGTTTATTCAGAAATGGGAGTGCTGCACAAAACAATGTCAGATCAGATCCAGGTCTGAGAGGGGGTTTACGGTCTGTAAGAGCCCCTGTGACCCAGTTCTCCGAGGCCTCCTGAGACCAGCCCACTGACCCATATATTTTTTTCCTCAGAGGTTGTCACTGCAGTTCAGCTCAGCTCATCACCTCCTGGCTTCAATGAGCAGCTCTATTATTTACTCAGGAACTGAGCTGCATTCAGCTGCTGACGACTATGCAACACTGCAATTAATGAAGCTGGTAAAATATTTAAATGGAGACTTAAAATCAGCAGAATTCAGTGGTGAAGAGCTCCTGTCTGCAGTGCAGACGTACAGACAACTGGGAGCAAGTCCCAAACTGTTGTTTCTCTGAAGGTCAGTTCTGATTCGTATCAAAGATGACAATCAGCTCACGCTAAACCGAAACATGTGCACCTCATTTGTGTGAGCATACTTGAAACGGCTAATTCCTCTCGGCATTTCTTACATCAACACACAGAGTCTGGAGGGTCACCAGACTGCCTGAACTGTTTCTTTAGATCAACAGTCTGAAAAAAATCTAATGTTTTTACAGTGAATCTACACAAAGACTCTGAAAGGGTCTTTGTGTAGATTCAAATTCTAAGTAACAGAAATATTGTTTGATTTAAGTGTGCACAATACGGCCGGGTATCGTCACCGATTGACAAGGTTCGATTCGATCCACGATTTCGATTCAATTCAATTCGAATCAGGGAAATTTTGCCTCAGACCGTCAGAATTATTATAATCCTGATTATTTATCAGTACTGACACTTGTGAGACTTCATCAGAGGTGTGAGCATCACAGCAGATGTCTTTGTGTGAAAGTAACTGAGGATAAAACAAAAAACATGAAGGAGATTTTCCTGGCCTGGCTTTTTATAGCAAATAATCTTAAAAATATTCTGCAGTAGAACAAAAATGGAACAAAACCAAGAATCGACATATGAACATTACCTGATGCTGCTGAAGTGAAGCAGAGCAAAGTTACAGAGGTTTAATTAGAGACACAGCTAAGCGTTTTGCAATTTGGCATCATTTTGAAAAGTTTACATTTCGAATTGAACAGCAGGAATAAGTTTTTCTTTCGGAGGTCTTTTAAAAAAAAAACAGTGGCTGACAGCGCTGTGCACAACGGTAAACTGGTGGGTAATAAGCAAGCGAATAATGCAGAAAATGGTGATTTTTAGATGGGAAACTGTTCTTAAAGTACACTGAGAGAGAGAGAAAGAGCTGTGCAGGAAGTGTGGATTTA